TCCCCCAACTAATTCCCTCTCTGATTCATCCTTCATTCCACCCTCTGCATCTCACCAGGAGCAAGAAGTTTTAAATAAACCCGATCGACCTCTTCGAAGACCTAAAAAACCCTCGTCTGGTGACATACTCGAGGAAGGAGTGCTACCGAGTGGGGAGAAAAAGTTCGTGGACACCAAATCTGCAACGGTTTCTGCAAAAGCAGAGGCCACTAAAGATGATGTCATACAGGAAACTGTTTCAGATGAAGAGCCAATTTTGGACAAATCTGAGTCCTCGAGGTGAGTTAAATGTCAGATTGAGGCTGAGAAATTAGATGCTTATTTCCAGAAGTTGTCTCATTAATGATTTTCTCTCTTATCCCACAGAGCCATTCTCTTCGGCCTGATCACTGAGGACCTGCTGAGGTTGTGTAAAAGAAAGTAAGTAAGCCTGTAGAGAAGGCCCCATTATGCTAACAAATAATCTAAGGGGTTTGTTTTCCATCGTCGTATTTCCTATTATTTTTCGCTACTACAGTAAGGTGAAGATAAAAGGGACATCATTTTTTTGTAAAGCTTTATTGAATATGAACACGAGAGAGAGAGAGAGAGAGTGGGGGGGGGGAGAGTTTCGAGTTGGAAGAAAGGGACGCAGTGGGGTGTGTGTGAACGTGGTTGTCATTTTTGGAATGTTGTGTCCACAAAGGAGGCCATACTATTTCAACGTTCATCTCGTTTTGCGATTATTTTGCTGCTGCATTCAAATCCGCTTAGCGTACATAATTGCCAATTCAGCAATTACGAGTTCAATGCTCATCGGTTTGAATCCATCGTCGCACACGAGAACCTTCATTTGCTACTTTTGACCAATTCGAGTTCCTCATAACGATTATTACAGAACTTTCTCCCCCCCCCTCTCTCTCTCTACCCAGGTCAAGTATTGTTGGTGTATTGGTTTTTTGAGTTGTGGAGACCTTCCATCATTACGTCTACGATCTCCCCATCGCATGTCGACAATTTTGTGTGGACGAGCTTCTCTTGTTATTTTTTTAAATGAGTTGAGTCTCCCAGTAGGGAAATAATTTCAAAGTAACTCCTATTTTATTAAATCGAAGTTATAAAAACATACTCATAAATGCATGCTCTTCGCGTCGTTATCGAGACTTCGATGGTTGCTGTCCTTAGGGTCTGTGCATTAACGACGGTTGATGTGGACGTTGCTATAATGCATCCTATTATCACTATAATTCTTTTACTGGTGCGCAAGGTCTCTAGTTATCAATGCTGATTTGCTTCAGCTGTGTATGAAGTTAGTTTTTCTGTGAACATGTTCCAAAACGTTGATGGCGCTGAAAAAAACGCTTTTTGTTCGCTTTATGACCATCTGTAGCAGTACATTTCGATCATCTCAAAACCCTGATCTTATTTCCAGAAGATGACTTAAATTTAAGCACACACATAAAGACATTTTCAAGTTGTCCTTTTTGCATAGTGTTGAACAACAAAAAAAGTACTTGCTGATTCGCCGCTCATGATTGTTTGCATTAGCTGCTCTCGCCCACGTGTGCGTACCTGATCCACCATGTGCCTCTCGGTGTTGGTACTCCTACAACTCATAACTCTGCTAAAGGCATTTAATTAACACCTAATTGTAGTGATTTCATTGGTTGGGTTCACTATGGGAATGAATTCGAACATTTTCGTCTCGTTCCACAGCCTCCGAATTTTCTGTTTAACATTTTATTATGTGGAGTGGGTTCTTCTCATTACTTCTTCATTACCAGTCACCAGTGAAGGACAACTTTTCTGCTTTTCATTTTTGCTCGTTTAAAATAAGGTGAATTGGGCCTTTCACCAACATTGGCCATCTCAGTTCTCGTTAATCCAATTGGTGAATAATGGATAAGGTCTTATTAAGGGGTTTTTTAGGAGAAAGGTTATTAATTTTTAATGGGTAATTAGTACCTTTTTGTGAGGCAAAAAAGGAAAAAATAAATAGGAAATAATTGCCATTGTGTAGAGAGAGAGGGTCAAATTTCGTTTATACTTATTCACTAAAGTTGTTATTATTATATTAATATTATATTTTCCTAATCCTTATTTAGACGATAACTGAAAAATATCCTGACTTCAGTGTCCGGTGAGGGATTGAAATGACCTTGAGATTAGAGTCAGCATACCAAGATAGCTTTACTTTCCCTGTTTGTTTAGAGAAGTTGTGGTTTATCCTAGTGAACTTATTTATTTATTTCAAATGGCAGGCGTTTTGATGGTTACCATTAGCCCTCTTTTTGACTTCAGGCTTCACACAGGGGAAGGAACATTAAAGTGAAAAAAGTCGAGAGGGGGGGGGAACAGAAGAGTGTTTCAAAGATGTAAAAGAGACAGACACAAATGTTGAGTGAAAAAGGTGAGGTGAGTTCTGTGGAAGTAGTCGAATATGACATACAGTGAGGTGATGGTAGTTTGAAGTGAGAAGTCAACTGCCGGTATGCGTTGCCAAGGCTGCACCACGTGGGGATAAGTCTATCGCGCACCCCATCCTAGTGAACTTTGTGAATACAGTTATTAAAAATCCGGTCAACAATTCTCTCTTCCATCCCTTTATCCAAACTTGTAAACAGAGCTTCGCTCTCATGAAGCGAACTTACTACAGACATTTTTGGCAAATATATATATATATGCATTATTTCTTCAATTGAATTCGTATTCACAATTGGGACATGTTTAAGGGACGTTAAATTTAATTCAAAAGTGTCAAAAGGGCGGCAATTGTTGCTCTCGTAAACTTCGTTTTTGCTGGAGTTCTATCTGCCTCATTGTGGGTCGTTAACTGGGACAATAAGACATAGCTCCCTTGTGTAGGCAATGGATACTATTTTTCATTTATGATTGTGATTGAATTATAGTGTTTTTGTTTTAATCGTATAATCCACGAGAATGAAATAGCCTGTGTGGTAATTATATGTCAGAGCTGAGATAATCTTTAAGGCGAGGTAAGAGCTTATCAAATCAATATTACAATATGTGACACTTCACATTTTTCCCCCTAGTTCCATCCTGGTGCTCACGGTTCTCTTCTTCACCATTCTCTTCATTTGGTACTTCTCTATTTGTCCCTTTCTCGCTGGTGCTCTCTTGGGCGGTGGAAGCGTCTATGTTTTCATGCGATTTTGGGCTTTCACTATGCGTTACCTTAATACCTATTCCCCTGACTACCATTCTGACGATTGTATTTTCACTCGTGGTGGTGGTGTCCATTTTCCCATCAAAACATCACCAACTGCCACTTGCTGCAGTTTGCACAATTCCCTCTTAGCCGATTGGAGACCAGCCTATGCGGGACCTCTCATTCTTCCGCATTTGCGTGAACTTCAGACACCCCCTGTGCCTCGCTTGGCTGATGAAGATCCTAAGACGGCACCTGCTGGAGGTCATCTTGCAGAGGGTCTGGGATTCAAACTTGATAAGGACAATAATCCACTCTATCAGACTTGGATGAATGAGGTGAGTTGTTTGGCCCAATCCACGTTATTATACTTTCTACCTATCGACCATTCAGTATGGTTTAGTTAAGTTCAGTTGTATTAGTTGTTTTATCGGTTTTATTGTCCTATATAATCTACCGAATGCGAAAATAAAGGATACATTTGTGGAATTTGGAGTTCATTCTGTATTTGCAGTTCATTATTGCGGGTACTGATTGGGCTTGGTCTGTGATGTTATTAATTCGATGCCTCTGTGTTGCTCCTATTCGAGTAAACTTCCAGTTTTGATTTGCAAACACGTCATCTCATTTCCACTGACAGCTTTACTCGCTCTCTCTTTTGGCTTGGATTGGTCTGATTTAATATAGCAAATTGAAATCTTTCTACTATTATCTAGTAAAAGTTTCTTTGGTAGACTAAGGTGATTAGGTTTTAGTAATGAGGCATATGCTGCTTCCATTGGGTTTGATAATGCCATTTAGGTCGTAGTCGTCATTGAAGTGGATTTTGTGTTAAGGAGATCGGAATCTCATTAAGATGTTTATGTTTCCTTGAATGATGATAGTACACCGATATGAGATTGCGAAGAATGACTCTGTTTCGTGTAGTTAGGAGATGAAAAAGTAACTCCATGAGAGAATATTAACGTTGACGCCCACCTTTTAAAACCTAGGTAAGTGGTTCATTATAATGCATTGATTCCAATGACGCAGAGAACGAGCAAGTCTTGACCAGTTTACATCCCTTGTGGGCTGATTAATAAGGACTTTGAAATTGGAGATTTATGCTTTGGGACATCACTTTATGCAATTATTCATAATTGTTCACTGTGTTCATTTTACCCTTTAGACGGTTTCCTACTCCGCTGAGACCTATCACATCAATGACACCCACTCGGTGTTTGTGACCCTGGAGGGTTCTCAACTGCGTATTCAACGACCACGGAAAAATGTGCCTCGTCGAGCCATGTTCAATGTCTCCGTACCCTCTAGTTCTGGAGTGCAGTTTGTGCATCAACGAATTTATAATATGCGCAAAGTCACTGTCTCCCTACTCCCGGAAGGTCTTGTCTCCAGGAGGCTTTGGAGCAAAAAGTACCCAATATGTCTTACCATCCAAAATGAACAGGTGTGGAAAACTCCCTCCCTTTTGGCTATTGCAGTCCCCATTTTTTGATTAGCTAACCCTTATAATCACTTGAATGATATTGGAGTAAGCATTTTTCGCTACTCGTCATGGTTTGAAGAGTAGTCTGGTGAAACCTCATTGATGGGCAACTCGCCTTCTATCGTTCCATTTTCTCCGTACTAATTGAGTTCTTTCGCTTGATTGCAGTCCGGTTTTATTATTTACCTCTACGCCATCGATGCCACTTGCTGATGATGCTAAGAAGATAGTCTATTAGACAGTGGAGTCTCATTTGGTGTTCTCAAAGTGAACTCACTTGATTTCCTTCAACAATTAAGGGGTTGAATATTCAACTCTTTCAAGTTGACTATCCTTAAGTTAGTTAGGGCTTAATATTAAAACCGTAATCTCCCTGTACTTTTACGATATCCATGGTGTATTTTATCACTGTTGTACAATGCAATCCAAGGTACAAATAGATCGTGCCCAGAAGTAGGTAGTAAGTTAGATATTTTTTATCGGTATAACGAATCGTTTTTTTCACGGTGTGTTCATCTCAATAATGAAATTTTAAGTTTTCATAAATCCGCAAATGTAACAACTCTCTTTTGACTTACTGTCATCACGCTGAGCAATAAATCATTTTGAGTCGTAAATCTTGTAATGGCAGTTTTGAGAAATGTTTTGTTTTGCCTTTAGTAGTGCACAGCATTGAATCAATGTAAGAATTATAATTTCATAACAATTAATGCTCTCTCTTCACTATATATACGCCGATGAGTAGTGAACTCGTGACCTCTGACCTTCATTATGATACTCAACAGGCGGACTTCTTTTATTATTGGCCACCTTGTAGCTGGAATAGTTCTGAGCATCGCTGTTGAGGGAGGCTGAATATTACCAGTCTCAATCAAGCTTTTACATAATTTGTTGATCCTAGTTATTAAAAAATACCAGGTTTATCACTGGGTTTTTGACCGAGATAAAAGTCTGGGAACAAATTTGGTTTCATTCTTCGAATGGTTTAGTATTAATACAACCAACTATCTCAGTCGTCTAGTTTCATTGCCTCTTCATTCCTTCTAGAATTCCCGACCAAGTGGATCTCAGGACACGATTACCAAGACATCTTCTACCTCACGTTTGAAGAAGAAGGCCTCAATAGCTGCTCGATCCGGTAAAAGATCCATTGCAAAGTACCCATCACCTACCGATTCTATTCGTGAAGAAACCAAACCAGCGGGTCTAGACAGTCAATCTGCCTACTCTGTCTCAACTTCTCGTTTCCTTCGAGTATCAACAAATCCCACTTTCGGTTCTTCAGCCAGCGGCCCCGTTTCTAATGATATGCCCTTGTCACAATTGGATGAAGTTATATCTCAAACTCAGGATGATTTTCTGCTGGTGCAGCCAAGTGATTTGGATGATAAGATCTATTTGTTCACGCGGACGTGCCGTGAAAAGGAGACATGGTTTAGGCGACTCTACGGAGCATCTATTGGCAAACCGCTGCTCCTCACTACCCAACAGGTAACTAACTGGACTACGGGCTTTACAGCTTTTTATTATTTGACAAGGTTTAAGCACCTAAAGTAAAAGTTTTATAAAGATAGAGTTTTTACAATTTTATAGGGAGGGGGGAGGGGTAGGGGGAGGGTATTCAGAACACTAAAAGTTGTAGTGTGAGAATCATGGGACCCCATTTTATCTGATCTTAAATTGTCGCATCAACTACTGTAGTAAGGTGAATTTCTTCCTACTTATCCTTTCTTGTCATCATTACCTTATGGACTATTTGGTGGAACAAGTTTTCATACGATTTCGGAGCCATTCCCCGTTGATCTTTACCCTTGTAGCTTCCATCTACCTTCCTTCGACGGATCATCTTTAAGCTGTTGTGATAGTTCCCTAATGCCTTCTAATTTCACTTCCATTTGCGAGGAGTCGTTAACACGAAGAACCCATGCATGCGATTTCTCTTTTTTACGTGTTATTCCTTTGTGTTTTGTTTACAGTAAAGTGAGTCATGCAATTCTCCACAGATTTGATCTTCTGTGTATTTATGCTTCAAGGTTTCTTAGAGGGATGTTTCTGCTAAAAAAATATAACGCTCCTTTTTCTCCTGATCATTCTACGAGCAGTGTTCTAAAAATCCTACTAGCATATTCACCCTGCGTGCATCAGCTAGTGATAACTCGCACAGAAGGATTGGTTCTATAAATGTTCCAATCAATAAAAATCTCCCATCGTTGGAATATGTCTAAGTTTCACTGGTTGATGCATTAGACATATATTCCAAATGTCCTGAGACTTATAGTTTGCATTTAATGAGTTTTCCGTTTATCATGTAGAATAGTATCTAATCTCTTACCAAGAAGAGATATTGTTTTTACTTTTTTCTTCTAACAGCATTTAGTACTTAGTAATTTTCACTTACAATCGTGGCCAATATCCCAGGAAATTCCGGTGACTTTTTGTTTATGTCCAATGAGGATTTTTCCCCATCCTAATAATTTGTTTGGAAGAGAAAAAAATTGTCCGAGATTTATCATTTTATATGGGGTGTGCGATAGACTTACCTCCACGTGGTGCACCCTGGGCAACGTATACTCACACGGCAAAGAAAGTCTATTAACTGGCAGTTGACTTCTCACTTCAAACGACCATCACCCCCACTGTATGTCTGTTTCTTTTACATCTTTGAAACACCCTTCTATTCCCCCTCCTGAATTCTTCTCACTTTGATGTTCCTCCTCCCCTCTGTGAAGCCCGAAGTCAACTAAAGGGCTAATGATAACTATCAAAACGCCTGCCATTTGTTATAAATAAATCATTTTATATTGACTTGCTATGGTCGCATGGCAACGAATGTCAATATATCCAGCTATCACACTTTCATGCAAAT